AGCGAAACTCCGTCTAAAAAAAAAAAAAAAAAAAAAAATCATTATTCATGAAAGTTAGTTGCACATGTACACTTTGCATAGTTCAGCAGTTCACAGCTTTTTGGTCTCAGGATCGCACTTGTAAAGAAATCATCAAAGACCCCAAAGAGCTTTTTTTAATGTGGATTATATCCATTGACATTTACCATTCTAAAAATTAATATTGAAGAAAAACTAATATTTAAGGTAACAAGTGAATTACATGTTAATATCAATAGCTTTTTTTTTTTTTTTTTCTTGAGACAGAGTCTTGCTCTGTTGCCCAGGCTGGAGTGCAATAGCATGATCTCGGATCACTGCAACCTCCTCCTCCTAGGTTCCAGCGATTCTCCTGCCTCAGCCTCCTGTAGCTACCACACCTGGCACACACCACCACACCTGGCTAATTTTTGTATTTTCAGTAGAGATGGGGTTTCACCATGTTTGCCAGGCTGGTCTTGAATTCCTGACCTCAGGCGATCCACTCACATCTGCCTCCCAAAGTGCTGGGATTACAGGTGTAAGCCACTGTGCCCTGCCAAAATAGCATTTTTATATAAAGTAATTATATTTTCTAAAAACTCGGTAACTAAAGTGACATTGTTTTTATACTTTTACAAATCTCTTTAATGTCTGTCTTAATTGAAGACAACTGGATTTTCATGTCTTCCTTCTTCTTCATTTAACCTGTTGTAATGAATTTTTTTGGTTGAAGATACGAAGAAAATCTGACCTCATACAGATCTGTAGTTGGAAAAAGGAGGAGTATTTTAATAGTCTTTTCAAACAATTATAGATATTCTTCTTTGATACTAAACTAGAACTTGAGAAGTGTTAGTTTCCTAAAGGTTAGTTTCTTTTTTTTTTTCATTTTAATTATTTTATGTGGCAACCCACTTTCTCAAGTTGAACTAAATGTTAATGTAGAATCTGGAGCCATATCAGTATACCTTTTGTATTAATACTTTGTCATTGTAAGATACACTGGTCTTCCTCACACTATGAATTAAACCTTTATCCATGCATTTTATAACATTATGCACTCACTGTTCATTTGGAGAATATTGGTCTTGTGAGCTATACAGATTTTCTAAATGTTGACATATTTCATTATATGATATC